CGCACCGCGCTGAAGTCGATGCTCTCGACGTCATCCTTGTGGCCCTTAAACAGTGCCAGAGCCACGCCGGTGGCCAGGTCCCACACCCTTATGGCTTTGTCCGACGAGCCCGCTGCGATCTGTCAAAACATCGATACAGAAAAAGCGGGGGGGGGGGGGGGGGGGGGGTGCTCGTTGTAATTTTTGGACAGGAGGGGCAGGGGGGGGGGGTACTCATGTTCTGCATGCCTTAGTTGCTAGACCATTGACCGCGCGTCCTCGAGAGGACGGGGGGTTTGGCCAAGACGTACTTCTCGGCGTACTAGATGATCTTGACGGCTCGGGCTGTCTGTATCTGGTACCCGTGTTCGACGAGCGGGGGGGCGGGGTTGTTTACCAACGGAGGCCACTCTCCAAACAACGGTGTGTGTTCGGGGGCGCATCCAATGCCCTCTCCGACGGTCAAGGGGGTGCGGGTTGCCAGTGCTGTGTTAATAGATTCCGTGAATAAGTTACGCTTGTAGGTGTACTGAAGGGTGAATAAGTTACGCTTGTAGGTGTTGTTGTTGTTGTTGTTGTTTTTCTTCACATTAAACTCGTGTCAGTTGCTAATCCCAAAATCTAGCAAAGACTCGGCCCGTGGTCACAAAAATGCTAAAGCCATCAGAAGATAAGAACACGCACACTATTAGCAAGAAAAGGGTACACAAGCCCAAGGAGGTACAGGTGTACTGAAGGGTGAATAAGTTACGCTTGTAGGTGTACTGAAGGGTGAATAAGTTACGCTTGTAGGTGTACTGAAGGGTGAATAAGTTACGCTTGTAGGTGTACTGAAGGGTGAACAAGTTACGCTTGTAGGTGTACTGAAGGGTGAAATAAGACGATGCGCCTTTGAAGGCTGTTTTTCCCGAGGCACAAGGCAAATATGGTGTACTAATGCCCTTCTTGTTGTGGTGGTGGTCGTAGTGTGAGCAGGCCAGCCGGCCGGCCCGCAGAATCACTCATGGGCAATTGATCTTTAGCCAAAGGAAGGACGGCTGAGGGGGGGGGGGGGGGGGGGGCCGGGGGGGGAACCCCACGGAAATTTTTCCCTGCCGGAAAAATCTTGCCAACCATTTATTTATTCTAAAAGGCTTCAACCCAACCGGCCCCCCAAAAAAAAAGGGGTCCCAGGGCCTGGGGTTGGGAACCGGCCTCCCGGGGAAAGGGAAAAAAAAAAGGGGGGGGGGGCCCCCCACCCAAGAGGAAAACCACCAATCCCCACATTTCGAAAAAACATTTGCCCTTTGGGGGGGGGGGCCCCCCCCCGCCCCCCCCTTGGGCCCGGGGGGCCCCCCGGCCTTTCCCCCCCGGAAACCCCGCCCCCAATCCCGTGGGTTTCCGGGGTGGGGGGCCCCCCCCCCCCAAAAAACCCCCCCAAAGGAAAAAAAGTTTTCCGCAAAACCCCCGGGAAAAAGGAAAAAAACAAAGGGGTTGGGGGGACCCCTTTTTTTTTTGGGCCCCCTCCCTAAAAAAGGCCCCCAAAGGCCCCCCGGGGGGG